CTATCTATCTATCTATCTATCTATCTATCTATCTATCTATCTATCTACTTGAGACAGAGCAGGTGAGGTTTTTGTATGTAGCTCAGGTTGTCTTGGACCCAGGCTGGCCTAGCACTTGTGTTGGGTCCTCCTGCCTTTATCTCCCGAGTGCTGGGGTTCTAGAGATGGGCCACAGCTCCCAGCCAGATATTGTTCTCATTAACCGCAAAAATAATATACAGTATTCATGTGAGAGAGAACAGTGTATTTCCCTTCTTGTGTTAGCTCAGACTGTCTAGTGGAAACGAGTACGTTTTTGTTTTGGTTGAGAGGAGCAGGGTTCTAAGTCGTAGGTTGAGACTGGGGGCTCAGAGGGTGACCGTGGGGTCGATTGTCAGGACAGACCATGAAGAGTAAGTTACCAGAAAGGGGGTTTGCTGTTTGGGGTTGTTGGCTACTGCTGTCATTTTCCCTCCTGAGGTGACAGGCTTGGCCCAGTGTGTGAGCTGGCGATAAGAGGAGGGGCCTGCTACAAGGTAATCATGGTGTGAAGGTGTCCCTCTTGGAAGGCATGAGTGGAGGCCTGAGGGGCTGGGCTAACTTCTGTGAGGATGAATTGTCCCTTCATCTTGTTGGTCACACCAGACTGTAAATGCTGTGGTGACAGGACACAGGCCCAAGTTCTGAAGGCATCCAAGAAGCCTCGATCGTGGCCTTGGGTCAGTAGAGTCCTTTCTGGGCCACAGGACCTGAGTCATTGCCTTCAGCACCTAATTAGCTTTAATTGTCATATTGGCACAGTCTAGCATTATCTGAGAAGAATGCCTCAGGTGAGGAGTCTCCTGGATCAGACTGGCCTTTGGGGGTGTCTGTGGGGTTAGTCTTCTTGACTGATGCGGGGGGGGGGGGGGGGGGGGGGGCCGGACCACCATGGGCAGCACCAGCCCTGGGCTTTATAAGAAAGCTAGCTGAGCTGGGAGAGAGGGTTTTAGGAGTCCAGCTCCTGAGAGGCCCCATGTGCTCCAGGAGCTGGCCCTGTCACTGTCCCTACACTGGCAGCTCTAGCTGGACCTTGTAGGCGAAAAGAAAGAGAATGAATGAAACTGAGAAGGAAAAGTGGTAGGGTTATAGGGGAGAACTGAAAATGGGATGGTTTTGATTAAAGCTCATTGTAAGCAGGCACAACATTCCCAATAAATAAAAAGATGAGTTAAAAATTATCTTAAAGTCTTCAACAGTTCCCATGAAAGGTTATATATTATAAATGTGTAATATATATATATATATATATATATATATATATATATATATATATATATATATACACACACA